GAGGAGGAGCAGGGGAGAAGCTCCGGACTGCCGGAGGCGATCTGTGAATGCAGGGAGGGAGGGAGGGAGTGATCTCTGCTGCAGGGGAAGCGGAGGAGGGGCTCTCTTTGGCTTTCGGAGCCCCATGTAAGTGGCACCATCCGGCTGGCTGCCCTGTTAACCGTGCGCACTCTGCCTGGGGGCGGGGGGAGTCCGGACATTTACAAATTCTCCCCGGATGCTATTTTTAGTTCAAAAAGCCGGACATGTCCCGGGGAATCCGGACGAATGGTAACCCTAATTAAACAGCATTGTGCATAAACAGAGACAGTTGCTTAACTAATATTCTCACTCCTTCTGAATCTGGTTGCATTGCTACATATTGTTTGTTAGAACGTGGTTTTCAGCCTCAGCAGCAAGCCTTTGTCATATGTTTATATTCTGATCAAACATGACTTATTCACAAGGGTAGTCACAAAACAAACCCTAGGGCAAATCTACTAGTGACCTCTTTCCATTAAGTAGATGCCAGTTATAACCACTCACTGTTTACTCCTTTTCAGCTATTTTCTCATTTAACAAACCATTTTATCACGTAAAGCATGACTTCACTCTTAGTAAATAACCTCTCCTGCTATCTAAAGCTAATAAAGCCACTTGAATTACCTCCATTTATTTTTCTTTCTCTCTGTGTAAATATTATCATGTTTGATTATAAACAGGTTGTTTTGCAGGAGGGAAAGAAAAAGATATAATCAAGGGGTTTGTTTCTTTGTTTTGCACTAGGGAGAAGCACAGGAATAAATCTTTGCAGAAAGAGAAACCGTATAAAATATGTATTGTGAGGCTACTCCTTTTGTTTCACTCAAACATTACTTCATTAACAGATCCAAATTATATCCATTTTAGCTGATTGACAGAATTGCATTTAAATCTTTGTAAATACTGTATACAGAGATTTTTTTCCAGTGGATTACAAACAATACACACAATCTTCTAAAGTAGGGATACCATACGTCCGGTTTTTCCCGGACAGGTCCGACTTTTCGGTAATCAAACCTCCGTCCGGGGGGAATTGCCAAAAAGCCGAACATGTCCGAAAAAATACCGGCCGGGCACTTCCCCTCCTGGGCTCCAGCTGCTCTGCTCCTCCCATGACTCTTCGGCTCT